AACCTCAAAAGGTAATGCTGCTTTTAGTACTTTAATGCTTTGTCAATGTCTAAAGCTGTCTGTATTTTGTGAGATTAGATAGATAGATAGATAGATAGATAGATAGATAGATAGATAGATAGATAGTAGATAGATAGACAGAAGGGGAAATGTTATATTCTTGCATTTGTTACCTAAAAGGCATTACCACAATATGTGTGGTTTAGAGAGCAAATAAGACAGACAAAATTGATGCTGACAGCGAAGGTTGTTTGGCTCCTGGTTAGGTAAACTGTTTCCTATAGCCAAAGCAAACCATCATGAGAGAACATAGGCGGCCTTCTGAAGTCCTAGGGAATCCCTCTGACTGGGATTCTTCCTAGAAGCTTTGCATCAGGTGCAAACCTTTTCAGCTGAGCCCAGCACATGGCACAATTTATTTACACAGCTGACAAGTTAGAAAGTGTCATAATGAGAACAGGTTTCTAAATTTGCATGTTGGAAGTCTTGTTTCTGTGCCTATTTTTCTGTTCACTTGTGTAATATTTAACAGCAGTTGGGAGATTCCTTATTTATATAGCACAAGGAAGTGGAAAACTCTTCTACAGCTTGCTTACTTTTTGATAATGATGTCATTATTTTCTCCTTGATAGGATTAAAAGTATATATAAGAGACCAGCCTTCCAGGAGGCAAGCACAGGGAGTCAAATGAAATGTGACAAATGTACAGGAACCAGCCATGTGGCAATTGCACATGAATCCACCATAAATCCACCATGCACAACTTTTTATGGTTTAAAGGCTCATTTAACTCCTTTCTCTAATTTGCATATTAAACAGCCATGTGTGCAGGAAGAAAAGAGGAGCTGGGGTATTTCCCCCAGGCACCATTAAGCACTCAGCCTGGGTGTTGGGTAAATTAAGGAAGCTCATTTCTGCAGGGTGCTTTAGGGTAAATCATGATGACTCTTTTCCATCCCAGCAGCCAGAGGGAGCAGGCTCTGGGGCAGAGGAGCCAGAGTGGGATTACTTCCACCACTCCTTTGCATGGAAGTTCCCCCACTGACTTCAACACAACTGGGATTTTCCCACCAGTTTTTCTGTCACAGCGAGAGCATTGCAAGTCAATTTCCTACATGGGCAAAATAATAAACGAGCTTTCACTCTCTGCTTCACACCCTGCCAACGTGGGAATGCACACGTGTCTCAGCACTCCAAAGCAGCCCAGGTTCCAGACTATTCAAATTCTCATTTGACAACCAAGCATGTGAGCATCCTGAGAGCTTTTTTGTCTCTCAGGGTATGACTTGGATATTTTATATTACAGTAAGTACTGACATATTTTACTTACTTTAAAGAGAAAACAAAACAAAACATATATCTCACAACAAAGTTTTATGAGTCTGACAGAGATCTTCTGTATATTAACTTGACTCAATAACTTTGTGAATATCATTTTTAAGCTTCTAAATATATAAAAAATTAATACAATTACAGTTCACTGAAAAAAATTAGCATGAAATACATTGTGAAAGCTAAAATAATTCATGGCAAAGTAATGTTCCATTTAATTACAAAGATTAATTCAGCCTTTATATTTGTGCCCAGTCTTTTCATTTTTCATTGAGAACAGATGATTCAAGAGCCATCTGGTAAAACTGCTGCATAAATATCACTGCATCTATCTAGGGTTTACATACGGAAAAACTAGAAAAATAGAATGATGGATCTTGGCAAAACACAGTTAAGTTCCATCACAGGACTAAAGCCCAATCCTACAGATGTCACTAGGAAATCACTACTGACTTGAGTGAGAGATGGATTGAGCTCACCCTAATTATGCACAGTATTTCCTTTGTGGGAAAATGAAATATCAGGGATTTTCACATTGCCAACTACAAAGGAAAGTGAAGTGGCAACTTAAACATGAACACTTGGTCTGAAGTGACAATTTTTAACAGTACTTGATCTGCGGTGAACTGTCTAATCCATACTCAAGAATATCATTATTTATTTTTAGAACTTGGCTTAACTGTTCTATTTTTGTTGCATAACTGTCCTCATTTTGTTTTGTCACAGTAATAGAAGCTGTGTAGACTTTTCAAGAACTGGTGTTTCATTTAATAATAATTCACATTCCACCATTTCACACTGCACCATAACCATCCCCTCTGTATTACAATAATTGTTTTGAAAGCTCTAAAATAATTGCTAAAATAAGGAAGACAGAATCACAGCTATTATTGCCTCTTGGTAATAGCTTGAGGCCAAGGTCAAAGAAAAAGTAAAATAAATAATCAAGTGACTTGTGTGAATAATGACTCTCATGTACACATAAAATTGCTTTCACTTAAATACACATTATGGTTTCAAAAGTAGCTGAATCCATTTAACAACTTTGTGCTGCCAAATGGAAAAAAAGTCCTAGTCCTTGTCCTTCTCCCCCACTCCTCTCAGCTCTGTCCATAGTTCTTCTCATGCTGCCTGCACCCCCTGCCTCCAAAGGCTGCCTCAGCTTCTCAACACATCTTTCTGTGGGACCACTTAACACACCAATAACAAGGTGGAAGTTTAACCAAGATTTTCCCCAGCTAATTTTCTGCCAGATCACTGGGCTGAACTACTTACTACATGGAAAGACCCAACAAGTTCTGGAACTTTTACAAGCCAAGTGCTGGGGACACATGATGTGACAAAATGGAGAAGGGTTATGTGGTACAATAGTTACCTCCTCCTCTGAATGATCTTTTGAAACCAAAGCCTCACTCAGACAAAACTTGCTGGCAAGACAATGCTATTTAGTACACTTAAAAATAACATACCATACCTTATAATCCTAG